CCGAACGTCGAGACCGTGGAGGTCGAATATCGAGAGTCGAGACCGTGGAGGTCGAAAACCGAGCGTCAAGACCGTGGAGGTCGAATATCGAGAGTCGAGACCGTTGAGGAGGTCGAAAAACAAGGGCTGAATGACCACTTCTCCGATCTTGAATTTAAAATTTGAACTTATGCCTGTTGTGTTTCGATCATCCTGTTCGAGATCTCTTAGACCACCCCTTTCTATCGCCCCTCAGTTCAAAATTTAAAATTCAAGCCGGTTCGGCGTTGACTGGTCGACAGCCAATGCAGCCCCCAACCTCTGTCTGGCGTTGTCCGTCCACATTTTTTCGGCAGCACGACCACAGCCCGCTGCAGTTCGTCGTCATTGACAATAGGGTCGGCCGATGTTGGCTCTTAGTTGGGATTGTCAGGCAAAATCTAATTGAAGCTCGGCAAAATCGTGTCCTCCCCCATACTATGCAAAATAAAGCCCTCGCTCACCTGCCCAATGAGAGCTCCGATTTCGATCGGAATTGCAGAAAATCACCGAACTCCGCCGAGACCAATCCGACAATGATGAGCAGGACAGCGACATCGTCCTTCTCGAACACGAGCAGCCTGCAAAGAGATGGAGTTGGAGGACGAAGGGTTGGACGACGAAAACCGCGAAAGGCAATGGGGGAAAAAAGCACGGTGGGTGGAGAAGAAGACGACGGTAGATGTGGAGGTTTTGGGTGGCGGCTTCATTTGTTGAAAAATTCTTATCTGCATTTTGGAGCAGGGGTGACATTTGTTAATTAGGTAACTTAGTAGGGTTTAGGTGCAATTCATAAACTTAAAAGTTATTGCAATTATATCCCTAGGTTTAATCTGTAATTTATTTATAATTTGAATAACTATAATATAGCCACTTAAGTTTTAATTAATGCACATTAATTTTATTTTTTGTACATATTTAAATTATACACCATGTATATTTTGTTTATAAATATTGGATGCTTAATTTAAAATAAAAAAAATCATATTTATTTCATAATGTATATTTAGTTCATCCATAGTGCATATTTGTTAATACGAAATGCACATTATTATACTTAATTTAAATATATAATGATGCATATTTAGTTAATCAATTCTGCATATTTAATTCATAAGAAATGTATATTTAGTTCATCCATAGTGATATTTGTTACATTTATATTTATATTTAATATATGATGATGTATAGTTAATTTATGATGCATATTTAGTCAATTGATGATGCATATTTAGTTCATTCGTGATGCATATTTAGTTCACCGATGATGCATAATTGTTATATTTAAATTAAATATATAATGATGCATATCTAGTTAATTCATGATACATATATAGTTCATACGAAATGCATATTTGATTGATCTATATTGCATATTTGTTATATTTAATTTAAATATATAATGATGCATATTTCGTAAATTTATGATGCATATTTTGTAAGCCCCGACCCAATATTATATTAGTAGTTCGACTTTATTTATCAAAATTAGTAATATATATTAATTATGCCGAGAATTTATACTAGTAATCGCATCATTTATTTAATTTCAAGTCTAAGCCATAAGAAGAACGTTCGAATTATTATTCGGAAACGAGATAAAAATCCTAAGTTCAAGTCTCGATAAATTATTTTATTGTGTAGTAGAATAGTCGAGAATTTATTTTAAGTAGTCGGCCCATTTTTAGTTCGAGTAGTCGAATTAATTTCCAAGACCAAATGATATTTTAAATATCGAGCCCTCGTAGTATTTTAATATCGAGCCCAATATTATCTTCGGCCCAAGTCGATTAATATTTCTGGCCCGATTTTAAAACAAGCCCAAGCTAGGCCCAAGATCATGTATCCCTTCCTCTCCTACTATAAATACATGTTTCCCTCATTTCCCACACACCAAACACAAAACCCTACCTCTTCATTTCAAGATTTAAGCTAATAACTCTTTCATTTTCCAAGATCTAGCGTATATATACACAAGATGACTTAGCTCATACCAAGATCTAGCCTTAAATCTCGAAATCCACCTTCAAAAAGCCAAGAACATAAGCTTTCTTCCACCTCTTCCCATGGCTTGAACATTTTTCGGCAAGCACCTTCTTTTCCGGCCCAAACCGCCGCCGGCGAGCTCGACCTCAGCCCAACCCCAGCTCCTCGTTCACGGGCCCGTTCAGCAAACCCCAGCTCAAACTCGTAACCCACGTTTCTTGCACGGTCCCAGCTCGGATCCGCCACCTTCACGGTCCGTACACGCCACCGTTCGCCGCTGAAGCCCATACCCGCGCAAAGGCCCACAGCCCGACGACCGTACGCCCGCCAGCACGCACCAGCAGCGTCCATCCGTACGCTAAAGCTCCTCCACATGTGCAACCCTTCCAGCGTCTGTACCAACCCGACAGCTCCTCTCCCACGCGCGCCGAGCTCAGATTTTGCACCACCTAGAACCAAACAGCTCGGATCCGTACCGAGCCCACGCCCAATCACCTCGGGTCTGCGGTCAGCATCTCCATTGCCCGAGTCCGACCCGATCAGCAGCTCCACAGCCCAAGAACCGGCCCGAACAACCCCTAGCCCGAACCTGTTGCTCCATTTTTCCTCTCCCTAGCCCGATCTATTCCCGATCTACCCGATTTCAAACCCATCCGGGCCTTTTTTTGTTCAAACGAATGAGGTATAATAGCTAAAACCTGACTTTAATGGCTTAGACTTGATATTGATATAAGAGATAATGAAATATTGATTTGAGCGAATTTGCTTAAATCGGGACGTTTGAGCTTGAAGCGAATTTATCGAGATTTTTCAATAATTGTGATAAAATTCCATAATAAAAATCATTAAATTCGTTGTGTTGTCTTAAGGCTTAGGTGCAAATTTGAGAATTTTTGGACTTTGTTTGGTAGGCG